TCCAAGTTGGGGTCCGAAAGAGTCTACAACCGGTTGGTTGGAGACACTGAAGGATATGGTGGTGAACTGACAGCAGTGGCGTTTTTGTTGTCGTTTCTTACCACTTCAGAATGCTTGAAGCGGTATGTATGCAGAAGTCGATTGCGTTGTGTTGACCATAGTGGCTCATCTTCTAAAACCCTCAAAATAGACCCAATCCCTGTCCACCTTAAATTTTACCACTAACCTTGTATGCATTGTGAGTTTGGCAATGACCAGCGAAGTTCGCTCAACTGTATTTCGCTGTACGATGATGATGATTTTCTCAACACAGCCTCTTCCACGGCGAACATCCCCCCCCCCTTTGGTTCGGGCAAGTGTGGGTAGCCCTAACTGCGAAGCGATTAAGCAGTATCACTAAAAACAACTTGGCCGTAATCAGGCTAATACCCCTGTAATTTTCGCATCTGTCGCCCTTTATTGGGACCGGGGCTAAAATTGAAGTCTTTTGGAAAAACTCCTATTTCCCAAATGGTACGGAAAAGAGAGTGCAGCGGATCGATCACAGCTGATAAGCAAGTTTTAAAATAAATTGATCAGCTGTGCATCTCTTCCCTTTGGGGACAACTGCAGCGTACGCTCGGAGACCCAGTCTCTCTTGTGGCGAAAAATCTCACCTAACTGCCCCAGCGCCGTTTTCCTAATAGACGTTTTCAGTGTAAACCACTGTGCGTCGACAGTTGAGTCATTAAAGAAAGTTTCGGCTATGTGGGAAGCGGTTGCGTCCAGCAGCGCCTGCCTTCTTTCAGCTCGTTCCAACAGCGCGACGTTGAATTTGCCCGGGAGACGAGTCTTCCGAAGAAAAGACAGGTGCATCTTGAAGCGGACGCGTACAAGGGTATGGTCTGTACCGTTCCTGTTTCCAGTTTCTGTACCGCGATATGAACGGCAGTCTCCTACCGAAGAGGCCCAGCCAGCACGTATCAACATACAATCAATCTGGTGTGCCGTCCGACCATCGTTTGAGTACCACGCGAGCAAGTGTTTTCTGGGGTGCAGAAAACGAGTGTTGGCTACTACCAACCGGTTAAGGCGTTAGGCGTTCGCCATTTTCGCAGCATTGACCGAGGCAGAACAGTCCTAGAACATGCCGAGTATGTTTGTCTGATGGACCAGTGCGTGCGTTCCAGTCCCCTGCGATAACGAGGATGTCGCGTCTCGGACTGCGGTTCATTGCGTCTTCGTTGTAGAAGTCGTCTTTGAAGGGCTCTTCCGCATATAACGCCGAAGCATATACAGCGATGACAGTCAGGTTAAACGGCTTACCCCTGAAGCGTGCTATGGCAATCCTGGGAGAAATTAATTCCCAGGAGATCATGGCATTGCTGGGTCGGCCGCTCACGGCGATTGCTACCCCGTACAGACCGGAGTTGTCAGTTGGACCGCTGCGGTATAACCAGTAGGTCACGTTACTAAGTGGTACGTTGATTAGTTTTGTGTCACAGTTGGGTAGTCGGACAAACAACAGATGTCTACCTTGTAGTCGTACAGTGAACGCATCGTGATACACTGGCCTCCTGTGTCTGGCAATGTTCTGACATTCCAGCAGGCTACATGGATGCTGGATCTGGTGCATAGATGATTTAGGTTCCCAACTTGCTCATTTGCCAGCCACTGGGAGAGCGCAGGGCACGTCGCTTCCCGGGAGCACCGTAGCATGAACGTGATGTACCATTTTAAGACGATCCATGAAGAAACTTGGGAATGAGGTACTAAGTGACGTCCCCAGTGTCGCTCGGTTTTTATTCGAGGGTGCACCTCTAAACCTTGCACAACCAAGTGCGACCTGCAGGGTAATGGGGTAGAATTGTTGGTAGCCGGTAACCGTTAGAACGGTTCACACGCCTTTCGGATGGCTGTGCCAGTCCAGGATCTCAATGTGTCCGTGAGGTATTCGGGTCGGTAGCATTCCTCAGAGTTTGTCCTGCCCAGAAGAGTATGCAAGTAGCACTCACACAGGAGACACTATTACAAAAGTAGAAGTCAACATCCGTTCAGTTCAGTTTGTACAACCATTAACCATGCGCCCTCCTGGGGCGGTTTTGATTGCTGTCATTTTGTCGCCCATTTGGATAAACAATAAGAGAAAGACAGGCGGTAGAGTCCAACAGAAAATGGAGAATTTATGGTTTAAGGTTGCAAAGAAATTGGGAAATTAAGTACGCTACTGTCTACGACACTCAACCATATCAATTAGTGTATCTAACCATCGGTTACGATCATTCCAAGGTCCCCAGCCAGGGAGTCTAACGGGACGTATGTGACCCAGTACCCTGATTAGGGATTTCATACCTTCGTGTCAGGTTGACCACCCTTGGCTTTCCTCCACCCACTACCTGCGTCCGCAAACATCGCTCGCCGTTGCAACCTGGCTGAGGACCTCGGGATGATCGTAACCGATGGTTAGAGACAGTGATATGGCTGGGTGTCGCAACCAGTGGCGTTCGTGCATTTTCTCTCTCATCTCTTTGCAACCTTAGACCACTGAACTTCTCCATTTTCTTCTCGACTCCACTTTCAAGTTTCCTTTCTTCTCATATCCTTCATCCAAATGGGCAGCCAAAAGACAGCAACCAAAACCGGCGCACGAATATGCGTGATTAATGGTTATTCAAACTGAACTGAACTGTTGCAACCTATTTCGTGAAATGCGTAACACATGCCCCAACCAACGCAATCTGCGGACCACTTGCTCCAATGTGCGACCGCATTTACCCAAAACTCTGCGCTTAACCTCAGCATTGCTCGTCCGGTTGCGTCAACGTCCGAGAGAAGTACGAATCAGTCACATCTGCAGTGATGGGATAAATGCACTTGGTCTTACAAATTCTCTGATCGGCCAATCAGATATCCGCGATATGATCATCTTATATACGCAACAAACTGATAAATCGAAAAAATCTCTTCGCGAGCACCGTTTTCTACTTTGTCTATGGGCATATTCTACGAGATACTAGACAATCCAGTTGGTGAGCAAAATAATTCAAGTAGTGCACCCACAAGCCATCGCTCAACTTTTTTCGTTTCGCAACACTCGTAGTTTCCAACGCCTCTGCACTATGCACTTTTTGATTAACTCTTGATGACTCCTCACACTGCATGGCATGTGAGCAGATAAACCGGTCCACCATTATAAGCTGGGATAAAAGTTGAATAAACGGAAACTACAAATGAAACTCTGAGAATCGCAATGGTGAAATAAGCATGTATCTTCTTCATTGAATTAGTCATTACGCTTCCAACTAATGGAATGACCGAGCTTTGTTCAAAAGCAATCGGTGTTGCTCGATAAAAAATGTACACGGTGAAACACAAAGCCTTTTAAAGGCAACTTGCCTTGTTTGGCTCGAACTTGGTTTCCGCATTAGGTTCGATCTTTTGCGGTCGCGCCTTTGGAATGTAACGTCCAGATCTAATCAGTTTGACTACTTCTTTGTAGAATGGATTCAGCTGATGATCGTAGTTAAGAAATCCAAAGAGCGGATTGCTCGTTTGTTTTGCCTTTAGGATGATCTCCATTTGATTACCTTGCCTTGCGACAAAAACAGCAGTACGCTCTATTATTTGTGCCTGTTTGTCTGTCTCTGGTATATCAACACCTTCTGGAATTACTAGATCCGGAGGACAAACGTACGGAGCCTCTGGGGATGCCGGTTGGCGATCGGTGTCACACTCTTGAACGAGGAAACGAAAAAAAAGCAAGCGAGGTCGATTAGGAACACAAGAGAATTTATCTAATTTGTCTATGGAAAGCCTTCTATATAAAGGCATGGACGTCTGATTCTTTGTTTCATCAGTCACAAGTCTGAGTAGATACAGGCAAATGAAACTGTAACTAAAACGATGAACGGCATTCATATGGTTCGCGAAAATAGATGTTAAAATATTTCATTATTTGCTGGCACATGAAACTGAGGGAAGATTCTATTTTTGTTAAATACATGTGATGAACAGCAAGCGGGGTCTCGAAGACCTATTGTTCAGTGACAAAAACTGGCAACTTATTCCCCGGGACTGAGTGGCGAACCACACTAGGATAAAGATAGTACTGAACCGGACGAAAGCAAACCTGCCCAGCGTGAAAGTTGGATTGCAGCGGCTGGGTTTGAACCTCGGACCACCAAGGTTGAAAGCAAACCGATGACAACGATTAAACCATTGAAATAACAATGAAATTGCATTTTGCTGGTCATAGCTCACTCTGAATCAACAAAATTCAGTTCTTGTCATTCACAATTATGCATTAGGTTTGTGAATGATCATATCGTATTGCAGTGACTTGTGCAGACATCCATGTCTATATTTCAGTCAAGGAAATTTGTTACTGTATTTCACCACGAGGATGATAATGAGAACCATGTGCACAAATAAAACTGAAGCAACCAGAGTATCAGTTAAATCCGAACAGGTTCCTAGGTTGCTCGACGGTTTTTTGTTTGTTAACTTTGAATCCCTGAATCTATCTTTTGAAATCTCTCTTTGTGGGTCCTAATGTGTTTTATCAAGCCTGGACGTGCTGGACAGCACAGGCAGTGGTGGTGGTTGCCCGGTGGTAACGTCACCAGATTATCGCCCCGGGGATGTGCTCGAATCCCGCCACCAACGCCTGACTTTCTCCACTGCGTTGAATGGCAGCTCTTTGATTGGCCGCTTCCCCCTTCCTGAAAATTCCATCTTTGTATATTCAATAAAAAGGAATTCAAAGAAAAAGAAAGTTAAACCCGATCGACACACGAATCTGCATTCGGCTTATAACATTTAGTAGCCAAAGTCCTGTGATTTGCAGTGGTAGACCAAATAAGATCCCAGCGAGATGCACTGTATCGAACTGCACGACAGCCAAGATGCACAACTAAGTTGGATGGCGGTAGAAGGGCTCGAACCTCGAACTCCAGAACCCAAAACATGCTGGTGACACTGAACTGGACCGCCTTACCACATCACCTCATAACATGAGCATGTGATTGCATGTGGTAAAACAAGTCTATCAATTCAAATTAACTTGAGACAATGAACCCCTCAAAGCGACACCCATATACTAACAACCAATTGGTCATGACATAAGTCGACCGAAGAGACTATCAAACCCATCTAGAGGTCCTGAAGAAGGCATTTTTGCGGAAAGTTCTGGACTTTCCTTTTGCGTTAGCCTTGAGTCATTTGACTTGATTTGATAAGCAACATCATTCACTAACTCACCACGAACCATCGGTATGCGTAAAGCAAGTACTTGACCAGTCGCATCAAGGTGACGCTCAAATAAGTTTCATGTGATCACGATGGAAGATAAAAATGTAAACAGGGCCAAACAATTAGCGCACTAACCTGTGGTTTCGCTTTTAGCGACAGCCTCGTCTCCATCATTTTCTGTATCGTAAGAGAAACCGACCGCTCCATACTGACTTCGTGCCTTTTCCAATTCCCGTTTTTTGTCTTCCTCTGAATGGGGATAAGAACAAGGAAGCGTGCATTAGCAGGTGAAGAAGAATGACTGGCACGGTATTAATGGACTAATGGTTTCAATTACATTTCTCGTAAGATAATCCGTGGAGCACCGAGGCTCGCGGTTTGGCGGAGGACGAAGTGATCTACAAAGCACAGACAGTTAGATAGCATTAATCCGCGGAAGTATTTCTAAAACAATTCATTACGAAATGAGCACATACTACCTAACAAAGAATGCTTGTGTTGGTGAACACTCTCCGGTGAAGAACTCACCAGTCGTACGTCATGCTCACTCACGCAAACCGGACAATCCGCGCGACTGCTGTAGACTTTCGGTGGATGCCTGAATTGGAGGGATGCTAGGAACAAACTAACAGATGGTGGTTTTTGGAGCAGTTCACACGATCAACCTCTGAGGCACCGTTCCACTCACCTGCGTGCGTCACCATTTCGTCAACATCCACACGCAGCTCCAAGTAACGCTCGAATTCGCACATCTTTTCGAGTGTGAGTTCATCTTCGGATAAATAGTCCTCAGGATCCAGAGAAACAGGGTATTCAAAGTCGCTAAGGTCCGTGAGGTGGGCGCGGCAGTCATATCTGCAAACCGATACAACGCAACATTATACACATCATAAGTGAGTGAACGGCAACAGCGGAAAATTAAATGAAATATGCGCATTAGTTTGATCCAATCACCCATCGTGCCAAACGCAAAATAACTAAAACCTTGGCTAAACATGAATATGTACCTATGAAATGCAAATGGATAGATCACCATCAGTACAACGCCTTCAAAATTCAAGTGCATTGATCAAAAATGAAGCCACTGATAAACTCTGTTCGCTTTAATAACCCCGATGCTCAAAGGTTTAAGCGATTCGATAGAGCTGCTCTCTAAGAGATCAAGTACTGTTCATATATTACGAATATACTCATCCCCGATGACGCGCGAGCTCTTACACGTTAACTTACTGGTTGTTTCGCATGTGGAAAGAGATGATCCGCAAAGATCAGATCAGATTGTTCAGTTCAAGAACTTATGGGGATCAACATCTTAATCTAGTTGCCAGGCTTGGCGAGAAACACAAATAACCTAAGCTACGGTTGACGGGCATGTGGTGTGTAGGAACGTTGGCTGTGGTCCTCGAACGAGGTATTATCAATTGACTATTCTTCCGTTGTATAAATAGCTCTGGTGCATATACAAATATTTTGCTTGCTCCCAAGCTCCGTCGTTTTGGTCGATTTAAGCTCTTCAATCAAGCGTTGTCTTCTAGCTTGCTTGCCGACCTCCGAAAGTCTCAGTATGCTAGGCAGTGGGTATCTAGGGTCGCGGCTGGTCACTCTTAAAATTGCACCTCAAGAACTGCTCCCATACAACCAAGCGTCTCAAATAGTCTCTGCTGAGGAAGCCCCGGCCAATGCCTTCTCGTGCAGGATGTTTTCCTACCGGTGAGGACGAAAAGCCGACATTCGAGGCTATAAACGGGCTGGTGAACCATTGCTAATTCACCTAGAGGGAGTTGGCCGAAAACCCTGATTTCAAAACAACCAAGAGGAAGCGTACGAACCATACAAACATCTTTCCGGTCGTGGTAATGGTCTAAGGATCTATTAGGCGAGGTCCATAGGGCACCTTGGACGTGTGACTCCGTCAAAAGGGGGTATGATTCAATGGACTGGACACCGACCCCCAATGGATTGCGGTATTCAAACACCGCCCCGTTGCATTGTAGATCAGGCTCTGGCTAACAGGAGGCTCCGGTTGTGGATTCCTCAAGAAAACCCATCTGCCTTGGCCTGGGTTACTTGGCAGTATTTGGCCCACATGCAAATGATGGAACGTTTTTCTTTTCTATAAAGATTATTGTATCATGATTTGTTTCACACAGTTTGACTCCAGACGTGTGTGAAATTATATTTAATTGCCGGCTAAACTTTTAATCCATCACCTAACAACATACGACCAGTCGTGCGACGGTACGATTTCATCGACCAAATACGATGGATCGTTGTCAACATCGATCCAAATTAACCAAATACTCCAAAATCCTGGGAACACCGGTATCATAGTCACTAATTCCTTAGAGCCAGTAGAGGAAGACAAACCCATGATCCGTATGTACGTCTTGTCTCCTACCGTGAATTTCTTCATACCTCGTCTTCAAGTCATCTGTTG